TTCAGTTCCCCCCACCAGTGAATTCATGTACCCCTTTCAGTACCCCCTAGTTCTACAGTATGAAACCGGTGCAAAACTGCCGTCCCCCTTTGCATACTCAATGTGTTGTTGTTTTACTTCCTGGCAAATGTGGTGACTTGGGTCAAATAAACTTAGAAAAATTTCCCACAGGATTGGACATTTCTTACAACAACATCAAAAGCAATTGACTCGAAATACCTCTAGTGTCGGAAGAATCGAAGATGGCGGCATAGGTAAACACCGGAGACTGCTGCCGCAAACACCACTTCAAAAATACAACTAAAAGACGGAACGGACATCACCCAGAACCCCAGGAAGGCTGGCTGAGGAGAGACTCTTCAACTAGAAGGAAAAACAACAGCATTACGAGGCCCAGAGGAGGCGCAGTGTGGAAAATTTAAAGGTACGGTGGTGCGCGCGCAAAGCGGGCTGGTGGCTGAGGGCGCGGTTGTCCTTTTCAATCAGGAGGGAGTCTCACACTCGGGGTTCAGATCCGGGCGAGTCTCTAGGGACCCAGACTCAAACGGGAGAAGCGGGACTGTCTGGCTACGGTCCCTCCGAGGTTTGCAGTGGTTGCTGGGACAGACAGGGAGAGCCTCTGGGGACGGACTGAGAGCGGCCATAGCTGCTCCCTCCCCCCCGCCCTGTTGATCCCGCCCCACCCAAGCCCTGTGCAGAGCCATTTGCCGATCGCCTCAGGCAAAGGCTAGAGGAGCACCTCTCCAGAGGACAGAAGTTTTCCATACAGCTGATTCTCACAGCCAGTCAGCCTGGTGGTCAAATCCCTCTAGTATTAACTACAACAATTAAGGCTTAACTAGAACAAGACTGCGCACAAAGACCACAAGGGGGTGCACCAAGAAAGCATAAAAGATGCGGAGACAAAAAAACATGACAGAAATAGAGGATATGGAGCTAAGAATCGCAATTTTGAGGGCTTGCAATAAACTTGAGCAGAGCCTCACGAAAACTAATGAGACCCTCGATGCTACGATAAAGAAATTAGAAAGTAAGCATACACGGACGGAAATAAAGAATATTATACCCAATAGCAGACCAGAGGAGCACAAGAATCAAACCAAAGATTTGAAATTCGAAGAAGCAAAAAACACCCAACTGGAAAAGCAAAATGAAAAAAGAATCCGAAAGTGTGAAGATAGTGTAAGGAGCCTCTGGGACAGCTTCAAGCGGACTAATATCAGAATTATAGGAGTGCCAGAAGATGAGAGAGAGAAAGATATTGAAAACCTATTTGAAGATATAATGGCAGAAAACTTCCCCCACCTGGTGAAAGAAATGGACTTACAGGTCCAAGAAGCGCAGAGAACCCCAAACAAAAGGAATCCAAAGAGGACCACACCAAGACACATCATAATTAAAATGCCAAGAGCAAAAGACAAAGAGAGAATCTTAAAAGCAGCAAGAGAAAGAGACTCAATTACCTACAAGGGAATACCCATACGACTGTCAGCTGATTTCTCAACAGAAACTTTGCAGGCCAGAAGGGAATGGCAAGAAATATTCAAAGTGCTGAATACCAAGAACCTACAACCAAGAGTACTTTATCCAGCAAAGCTATCATTCAGAATTGAAGGTCAGATAAAGAGCTTCACAGATAAGGAAAAGCTAAAGGAGTTCATCACCACTAAACCAGTATTATACGAAATACTGAAAGGTATCCTTTAAGAAGAGGAAGAAGAAAAAGGTAAAGATACAAATTGTGAACAACAAACATGCATCTATCAACAAGTAAATCTAATAATCAAGTGAATAAATAATCTGATGTACAGAATGAACTGGTGATTATAATGAATCAGGGACATAGAAAGGGAATGGACTGACTATTCTTGGGGGGGGGGAAGGGGAATGGGAGATTCGGGAAGAGACTGGACAAAAATCGTGCACCTATGGATGAGGACAGTGGGTAGGGAGTGAGGGCGGAAGGTGGGGCGGGAACTGGAAGGAGGGGAGTTATGGGGGGGGGGAAGAGGAACAAATGTAATCTGAACAATAAAAATTTAATAATAATAAAAAAAAAGCAATTGACTCATGTGAAGCAGGAGAAGGTTACATGGAGGTGTATCAGCATTTCCCAAGACAGAGATGAATGAAGACACATTTATAAATACAAATTTAGAGGCAACCCAGAACACAGCAAGCTAGCTTTCTCCTTGCTTCCAGGGAACAGAAGAAAATGCTCAAGGCTCAGGTGGCTTTGTTTGGTGTGTGTGTGTGTGTGTGTGTGTGTGTGTTTCTTTAATCCTCACCCTGGGGTGTTTATTCTCTCTCTCTCTCTCTCTCTCTCTCTCTCTCTCTCTCTCTCTCTCTCTCATTTTATATAACCCTCCCTTGCCTTCCATCTGAGACTTTGCACTCTGTACCAGGCTTCCATGTCTCTGGAACCACTCCATTCTTCAGTTAATTTTGTTATTTAGGTTCCATCTATGTGTGAGATCAAGTGATGCTTTTCTTTCTCTGACTCACTTATTTCAGTTAGCACGTGGCTCTCCAGGTCCTGCATGCTGTCTGAAAGGGTAAGAGATTCTTACTTTTTACCACTGCATAGTATTCTGATTGTTGTTTCAAGTTTATTAGGATATATTCTTAGAACTGGGTCAAATGACAGTTCCATATTTAATTTTTTAATGAAACTCCCTATGCTTTCCATAATGTTTGTACCAGTCTGCATTCCTATCAGCAGTGTACTAGGGTTCCCTTTTTTCCATATCCTCGCCAGCACTTGTCCTTTGTTGATGGTAGTCTTCCTGACAGTTGGGAGGTGGTATCTAATTGTTGCTTTAATTTGCATCTCTCTGATAATCAGTGACTTTGAGCATTTTTTCAAATGTGTCTTGGCCATCTTATCCACACTGCAGTCCTGGCAGAGCTGACACTTTGGCCCCAGAAGCAGATGCTCTTAAATAGTGATGTCTGTTTTGAGACATTAACTTCGTACAATGGAGGGAGGATAGGTGCTTTAGACACTTAAACAACCTCTGCAAGCTACATTAAGCCTGAAGGGGATAGAAACCTAATGGCCTGAAAGAACACACATTGCCTGTCATTCAGAAAAGAGCAGATTCTGAAGAAAGATATGCAAAACCAGCAACTAAAGGAAACCAGGCAGGTCCCACAGAAACAAACCTGTTCTAGAAATCCCCTTCCCTGAATGCGCTGGAGGGCCCTGAGTATACCCGGTGTGTCCTTGGACTATTTGCCCTCAAAACCAGTCCTGTAGTCTGCTGAGGAAATACAGGATCCTGGCCAGGGAGCGTAGGAACTACATTACCCAGAAGGCCAGGCGTCGAATGGCACCCAGCTGAGCCAATGGAAGCTCCGAAAAGGCGTTTCCGTTTTTCAAGTTCTGGTGTACGGGACCGGTAGTTTTCTCTCCATTTTGTCTTAAGCGGTCGGCGGTACTTGGTTGCGGAGTCCCCTGGAGAAGGCTGGAGAGTGGTCGTCCCCGCCTCACAGCCCATGGTCGGACCCTCCAGTGGTGCTCACAGCGCACACGTGGGATTGAAGCTCGGAGTCGCCACCAGACCCGCCCCAGGGCCCGGACAGGGACCGCCATTCCTGCAGCGGCTTCTGCTCCCGCCCCGCTCCTCCCACCGAGTGCAATGGAGGCGCCGGTGCTGAGGAGACGGGCTGAGGTGAGTGTGTCCCCCGGGTCCTCCCCTCATCGCTACTTATACCGACAGGACAGCCCGGGGGCAGGCGCCTGTCCCGTCCTGCAGCTCAGTCCCGCGTGGAGGCCCGTGAGGAAGGTGGAGGGGAGAGAGGAGTGTTGTGGCTTCTGAGGACACAGCAAGTGCAGGGCAGAGAGGACGGGGGTGACTTGCATCTGAAGGTCCCTGAGGATGTGGCTGTGAGTATTGACGGAAAGATCAGAGGCTGCAGGGAGGACGGCACAGCCTCATTCGGGGCTTTCCCGGCTGTGGGGTCCATCAGGGCCTGGGGTGGTCCTGGATGCGGCTGGACTACAAGCTCTCTACACGCCATATGCCAAGTTCATGGGTGAGTCCAGCGAGATCCAGTGGCATTGGAGCAGGAAGGGGGCAGAGCTGAGGGGAATGAACTTGGGGACTGAAGGTGGGCAGTGCAGAAACATTTCACTGTGGTGAGTGCACATCTGGAGGAAGTGTGAGCTTATGGTCCCTGGGACTTGTTGTGCACATAAAGAAGTATAAACCCTCGCTTGGCTTTGTCTTGGAGACAGGATCTAGGAGACTGCAGTGGTGTTGCTTGGCAGGAAGGCTGGGGCCCTGCAGGCATCGCCCAGACCTTAAATGGCATTGCTCTCTACCTTCCCCTCCCCTAATCCTTCACTCCCAACCCAGCTGCTCTGCTGAGGGCAATGCAGTGAGTAATGGGACTGTGATGAGAGAGCAGCCTGCACTGGCATTAGGGCCTGGTGTCCACACTAACCAGGGGTCCTGGAGGAGGTTGAGGGGGGGAAGGTGTGTAAGGAGTAGGATTACTGGTTCTCAGAGAGACAGCCCTGGTTTTAATTGTCTCCATTCTGACAGGTTGGCGTGACCTTTGAGGACATTGCCCTGTTCTTCTCCAGGGAGGAATGGAGCCTCCTTGATGAGGGTCAGAGACAGCTGTACCTGAATGTGATGCTGGAGAACTTTGAACTTATGTCCTCGCTGGGTAAGACCCTCACTGTTACCGGTGACCTGGAATTGGCTTTTCGATTTCCCAGGCCCCATTCCCCGGAGTGTGCTCTGTCCTCCCAGGTAGACTGTGGTACTGCTGGATTTTCCAGTTTTCTGGGTAGTTGCTGTCCTGGGGAGGGTTGGACTGTTTCTGCTGCTCCCTTCTGTTCCTGAAGTCCCAATACTCCCCGCTGCACTAAATTCACAGGGAAGGACTTGTGGTTGGTAGTGTTGCAGGATGCTTATAGAATTGCACCTTGATTAGTGAAGAAAGCATTTTCTATATTGCTGTTGGTAATGTGTATATATTTTTGAAAAATTATCTATACATCCTTATCCTGTTTATTAACTGTATTTTTTATTAGAGTCTTTTGAATACCTTGTATATTTTATATATTAATTGCCTACGACATACAGGAATACATATTTTTGCATGTGCTTATTTGTGCTTTGCAGATATAATTCCCCCACACCAGCTTCTCTTCAAAGTCCATGTTTTTGGCAACCCTGCATTCAGCAGATCTAGTGCCACCATGTTTATAGCAAGCTCAGGTGCTTAGCAATTAAATATTGTTAGTGAAGTTCTATAGACTTTGCTTTTGAGACAGAGTCACTGCATTGTTATTAGCCTGCAGTATAGTATTAACATGCCTTCATTATTCCCAGGAACTCCCACTATTTGTGTGAATTTCTGTCTATATCGCAATATTCGCTTTATTGTGCCGATCAGAGCTGAATCCACAATATCTCCAAGAGATTCCTTCATAGGTTTGCAAGTATTTTCTTCTATTCTCTATATTGCCTTTCATTTCAGTTTGTTTATTGCTGTTGTGCAGTGAAGACCCTATTTACATCATTTATTGCAGTGTGGACTGTTTATGTTTTCTATTTTGTGTGGTGGTTGGTGTCACATTCAGAAAATTCTGTCTAAAACAAACCTCCAGCCGAAATCGGTTTGGCTCAGTGGATAGAGCGTCAGCCTGCGGACTGAAAGGTCCCAGGTTCGATTCCGTTCAAGGGCATGTACCTGGGTTGCGGGCACATCCCCAGTAGGAGATGTGCAGGAGGCAGCTGATCGATGTTTCTCTCTCATCAATGTTTCTAACTCTCTCTCTCCCTTCTCTTTCTCCCTTCCTCTCTCTAAAAAATCAATAAAATATATTTTAAAAAATAAAATGAAATAAAAAAATAAAACAAACCTCCAAAAGTTTTTCTCTAGGTTGTCCTGAGGAGTTTTAAGTTTTAGCGCTGACATTTAATTCTGTCCTGCAGGTTGAGTTCCAATTTATCAGTGCTGTTCAGTTTTATTGTTTTGCATGTGAATGTCCATTTATACCAGCACCATTCAATGCAGACTCTCTTTCCCTTCTCCTGTGGCTTGCAGCTTTGTCAAAGATTATTTAATGTATGTGCCTAGGTTTTTTTGTGTTTTCTGTTCTGTTCTGTTGATATATGTGTCTGTGTTTCTCCAGCATCACACTGTTTGCTTGCTTTCTCTTTGTAATAAATTGAAGTCAGGAAGTATGATACCACTAGCTTTCTTCTTGCTCAAGATTGCTTTTGTTGCCCTCCAGTGGTTGGCAAACTGTGGTTCACGAGCCACATGGGGCTCTTTTGCCCCTTGAGTGTGGCTCTTCCAAAAAATACCGACTTCTCCTTTCCTGAGGCGCCATGTTAGGTTCTTTGAAATCTTTTGTGACAATGTAGGCATTTATCTCTATAAAATTTCTCCTTAGAATTACATTTTCTTCAATAAAATATATTTTACTGATTTTTCACACAGAGGAAGGGAAAGAGAGGGATAGTGAGAAACATCGATGTTAGAGAAACATCAATTCAGCTGCTTCCTGCACACTCCCTACTGGGGATGTGCCCGCAATTACAGTACATGTCCTTGACCAGATTTGAATGTGGGACCCTTCAGTGCTCAAGCCAATGCTCTATCCACTGAACGAAACCAGTTAGGGCTACATTTTCTGAATGTTATACGTAAGCTTTGGTAGCTTGCTTTGTTATTTACTTTGCCTCTAGACTTTTTTGAGATCTCTTTTGTTTTTGGCTACCCTGAAATTCTTATGTCTTTCCTTATTATTCCTTTTACAAAAGAGGAAAGGACATGGGGAGAGAGAGATGAGGGAGAAACATCAATCGGCTGCCATGTGCACAGTGGAAAACCACGTGTGGAAGCCACATTGTGATATGTGCCCTAACCGGGAATTGAACCCTAGACCCTTCAATACACAGGACACTGCTCCAGTCATCTGAGTCACACTGGCCTTGGCATTGTGTGGTTTTTTGAAACAAAAATTTCCAGGTTTTTGGAGAACAGGCCACTAGGATCAATGAGAACAGAAGCACAGTGGCTCATAGTGGTATCGCTGACCCTTTATTTTTATTTTTTATTTACAATATATTTTTATTGATTTCAGACAGTAAGGAAGAGGGAGAGAGAGAGAAACATCAGTGTTGAGAGAGAATCATTAATTGGCTGCCTCCCCCATGCTCACCAGCGGGGACCGAGCCCGCAACCCGGTCATGTGCCCTTGACCTGAATCCAAGCTGGAACCCTTCAGTCCACAAGCGGATACTCTATCTACTGAACCCGACCGACTTGGGCTGACCCTCTTTTTAAAAAATATATTTTTATTAATTTCTTAGAGAAAATTCGGAGAGAAAGAGAGAGGGAAACAGTAATGATGAGAAAGTGTCACTGATCAGCTCCCTCCTGTATGCCTCCTGCAGGGGACTTAAACCACAAAACACTGGGCATGTGCCCTTGAGTGGAATGGAACCTTAGACCTTTCCGTCCCCAGGCTGACACTCTATCCACTGAGTAAACCAGCTAGGACTGACCCTTGCTTTATTTATTATTTATTAATTTATTTCCTTAGTTATTTAGTTAGGTAGTTATTAACCCTTTTTTTTGACCTTAGGTATCTTCAAATGTGTTTCCTCACCCAGTTTCCTGTCATCCTTTCTATGCAGTAGTCCTTATTTGGTATTCTGTATTAGTGTTTGTCTTCATAGTACTCTTATTCCCATTGCCTGTGAGATTTTTTTTCTTGGATAGCTCTTTACTTACTCTGGGATGGGGAACGATTCTCTGTCTCTGATTCTGCCATCTTGCTGATGTCACTCACATAGGTCTTTTGCCTGTGATCTCGTTTGTGGTTTGTTGTTCTACCACAGTGCTGACCATATCTCATCTTAGGTTTTCTTGTAAGATTTGCCTCATTTATCTCATGCTGTGGCTCAACTTGGATTTAAGAGGCAAAATCTTTTGTGCGGCCCAGAAGAAAGATGACTTTTTCAATGAAAGGGTAGACCCAGAGGCAGTCTTGCCCTGGTGAAGGACTCTGGGGGCGGTTTTCATGCCTGGGCTCTGTTTCATTCATAACTAGAAAGCCATTTTGTTCAACAACAAAAATGTTTTGTTACCATTGCCCACTCTTTTCCCAGTTCTACTTCTTGTTTAATGTTGACACTTGTTCCATGACTCAGTTTTAATAGTGATCATTCTACTCGGATTCCCAGCCCTTGGGTAACCTTAATCTCTTTCAACTTTGCACCGTTACCTCTATCACACATCTCGGCTTTACTGCACTCCAATGCTGTTGCATGCCTGCAGAGCTTTAGAGCGCACCCGTATTATATTGACGCTGAACATCCCGTGCTTTACTATGATTGATATTTTATGGGTTTGAGCACATTGAAATTATTTTACACAGACTCATGTTTCCAGCATGAAATGTCCTAAAGGAAGCCATTTGTGGACTAATAAAGAGCAGACCCTGCCTCTCTCCTTTTCTTGCCAGCCAATGCTTCTGTCCTCCCTTGGTGAGACTTTCCTCATTCAGTGACCTTTTAGGCCATGTTATATATAATAGCTATTTCTTTCTTTTTTTTTTTTTCTTAAATCAGCCATTTCTTGAGAGTCTAACTCACTCGTCTTGAAAATCATTGTATGGAATCATGTCCTGTTGTGACATAAACAATTGTGCTGAAGATATTCTGTATTGATCAGGTGAACATGCACTTTACCCTCTTTTCTTTTCTTCAGGTTGCTGCTGTGGAGGAGAAAACGTGGAGGAAATGACTGAACAGAAGGTTTCTGTAAGATTGTCACAGGCAAGGAATCCCAAGTTAGCCTTGTCTTCCCAGAAGAGCCACCCCTGTGAGAGTTGTGGGCTGGTCTTGGGAAACATTTTCCACATGATGGAGCTGCAGGGAACACAACATGGACAAATACTGTTGAGGCGTGGGGCATGTGCAAAACAATTTTTTGTCCAGGCAAAATTTCACCAGCAGCATGTGAAAGAGAAATCTTTCACTAGAAGTGTGGACAGGATCTCACTTGCAAACAGCTGCAATTTCAATGTATCCCAGAATCGTTTCACGTGCGGGAATTTTGGGCAGGGTGTCCTTATGGGGTCAGTACATCTCCACCCCAAGGCTACTCAGACCAGGGACAGTCCAACCACAATTTCGACGTGTGGGATGCCTTTTAAAAGTACAAAAAATTATTACAGTAGAAAAGATTGTAAGGAAGACATTAGTTGCACCCACACATTTATTCAGGAAAAAGATGTCCATCTTGGAAGTCGGCGTTTTCTGTCCTCTGAATGTGGAAAATATTTTTCCAAATGTTGTAGCTTTCATTATCAACAGAGAGGTCACACTCAAGAAAAGCCTTATCAATGCAGTGAATGTGGAAAATCTTTTATCTCTAAGATGATCCTTCATCGACATCAAAGAGTTCACACAGGAGAAAAGCCTTATAAATGCAGTGAATGTGGAAAATCTTTTGCACGGAGCGATGCCCTTCGTGATCATCAGAGAGTTCATACAGGAGAGAAGCCTTATAAATGCAGTGAATGTGGAAAATCTTTTGCACGGAGCAATGCCCTTCGTGATCATCAGAGAGTTCACACTGTAGAAAAGTCTTATCAGTGCAGTGAATGTGGAAAATCTTTTGCATGGAGCCATGCCCTTCATTATCATCAGAGAGTTCACACTGGAGAAAAGCCTTATCAATGCAATGAATGTGGAAAATCTTTTACCACTAAGGCTAATGTTCGTCGACATCAGAGAGTTCATATGGGAGAAAAGCCTTTTCAGTGCAGTGAATGTGGAAAATCTTTTGCATGGAGCCATGCCCTTCATTATCATCAGAGAGTTCACACTGGAGAAAAGCCTTATCAATGCAATGAATGTGGAAAATCTTTTACCGCTAAGGCTGATGTTGGTCAACATCAGAGAGTTCATACGGGAGAAAAGCCTTTTTGAATGCAGTGAATGTGGAAAATATTTTGCATGGAGCAATTCCCTTCGTTGTCATCGGAGAGTTCACACTGGAGAAAAGCCTTATAAAGGCATAGAAAGTGGAAAATCTTTCACCCGGAACGCTACCCTTCGTGCTCATGAGAGAGTTCATAGAGGAGAAAAGCCTTATAAATGCTATGAATGTGGAAAATCTTTTGACCAGAGCACTACCCTTTGTATTCATCAGATTCTTCATACAGGAGAAAAGCCTTATAAGTGTAGTGAATGTGGGAAGTCTTTTATCCGGAGCAATGCCCTTCATTATCATCAAAGAGTTCATACGGGAGAAAAGCCTTATAAATGCAGTAAATGTGGGAAGTCTCTTACCACTAAGACTCTCCTTCATCAACATCAGAGAGTTCATACAGGAGAAAAGCCTTATGAATGCACTGAATGTGGGAAATCTTATAAAGGTAAAAGTGGTCTCCATTATCATCAGAGAGTTCACACTGGAGAAAGCCATTATGAGTGCAATTAATGTGAGGTTTCTCTCAGCCATATTTCTATATTCACTGTTCGCATAAGAGTACAAATGGGAGAAATTTCTTTGATGTGTAGGAAATGTACTTTCTTAGTTAGGACTTAACATTAGTACAACAAAATTTGTGAATCCTCATTTTTCTGAATTGTATCTCATATATTTAATCACCTATATTATGTAAAGTTCCCATAAGTGTTTTTGCTATTGTGTTTGTGTGTTTTTATGTTGGAACACTATGTAATTATCTTGAACGTTCTAATATACAGGATGTCCTGCCAGATCTATGTCCCTGCACATTTCTGTTGCTGAAGGTATTTCATCTGAACCACCTATAAGATCTCTACAAACGCCGTCAATCACCATCCTCATGTGCCCAGGGAAGCTAAGTCTGTTGTCTAATTTGTTGAAGAAAATGAGGAATACCTGAGCCCTTTGTTCTTTCTTGTTTCCCTGTTATGAGTTGCCACATAGGGCTGATTTCCATTGGCCCCCATAAACACGTTGCGGAGGTGTTGTAAATGTTTCCCTCCACGTCCTGCGTGGTTCAGGTTTCAGGGTCTGTAAGAGGAGCCACACACAAATGAAAGAGAAAAGACAAGAGATAATTTGGGAATATTGGGGGGCCAGGCGGGTAAGTCCAACTCAAGTGGAAGGACTTCCACCGGTGCTCAGGCAACACCGACCTTTTCTAGTCAGAGGTAAACAAGGCAGAGGTTACCATAGTTATACAGTTCTTTTCAGCAGTGGCTGTTGCTTAGGGAGAAGGAAGGAGGCGCATTGGAGAGCACTGAAGTTGAGTAGATGTGAGGGGCTGTCTTTAAAAGTTACAGTTTGTTTGCTTTCCAGGAGATAGCCTGGCAGATGTATAGGGAGGTGTCTTATTAGTATTTTCCCCAAGCCTATAAAATATGACTACAGAAAAAGTTATGTAGAGTTCAAAACAGAATTGTGTGAAGGGGGGGCGGGGAGGGAAAGAAACTTTCTACTAACTAGAGACCCTTCTGTGCCAAATATCCTTGAGGTGTGACAACAGCAGGGAGGAGGGTTAGCAAGAATGTAGCCTTGAAAGTAACTGATCTTGTTCAGCAGTTTGATCAAATGAGCTGTTTGAAGTAGAGGAGCCAACAATCTTGGGATTTAATTAGTAGGTGATCTCATATATTGTGGAAGGCCGCAGGTATAGATCTGCCAGTTATTTACAATACCTCCCGCACATTTAGAACCTAAGGCTTTATTGACCTGAAGAGTGACTACTTCTAGGAGACCAAATAAAGGTACACCAGCAATACTGGGGGCATTGTGTTCAAGGGGGATATCAGAAATGTGTCTGGGAGGAAATAAAACCCTCATTGAATTTTCATGACTTTATTTTCATATTTTTAAATTATTTATTGTCTAAAGTTTTACAAATTTCTCCTTTCTCCTATTTTGGACTCCCCCCCCCCCCCAGCCATTCCTACCCCAGGCAAGCCCCCACTGCCCCAGTGTCTGTGTCCATTAGTTATGCTAATATGCATGCATACAATCCTTCAGTCATTGAATTTTCTCTTCAACCGACAGTTTCTAACTCCCCAGTATGGAAAAAAAAATGATGGCATATACCAGCCATGGGCAAACTACAGCCCACGGGCCGGACCCGGCCCGATTGAAATGAATAAAACTAAAAAAAAAAAAGACCATACCCTTTTATGTAATGATGTTTACTTTGAATTTATATTAGTTCACACAAACACTCCATCCATGCTTTTGTACCGGACCTCCAGTCCAGTTTAAGAACCCATTGTAGCCCTCGAGTCAAAAAGTTTGCCCACCCCTGGCATATACTAAACCTAGCAAGTTCAGGGAGTCTGGCATGGCTTGATGAATTTTACAAAGTTAGAGGCCAAAAGTAACCATATATGATTTGAAGTTAAAACTTTCCAAGTAAAAGCAAGTCACAGGGCTACTTATATCCTATCCTTGTTTTAGTTTTTGTTTTTGCAAAGGTCAATTTTTACTTTATTGAGACTGTGTATTGTGTTTTTCGATCTGGGATAACATACCTTTGGATTTTCAGGGAAATATTTGTTTTAGAGACTCCTAAAGGCACAATCTCCCAGCACAGAAGAACACAGGCCCCAATTATTATTGTTATTGTGTTAAATATTAACTGTTAACTGTTCAATAAACTTTTTAAAAGTAGTTTATGTCTATTTTTTAAAAATATATTTTATTGATTTTTTTACAGAAAGAAAGGGAGAGGGATAGAGAGTTAGAAACATCGATGAGAGAGACATCCATCAGGTGCCTTCTGCACACTCCCTACTGGGGATGTGCCCGCAACCAAGGTGCATGCCCTTGACCGAAATCAAACCTGGGACCCTTGAGTATGCAGACTGACGCTCTATCCACTGAGCCAAACCGGCTACGGCTATGTCTATTTTTTAAAGTTTCTATCAAATCTCTGAGATTTCTCTCCTCAGGCCCACCCCATAACCCCAATTTATCATCCATAAATTTCATGAAACCCCAATATGTCTTTTCCATTGAGACTAACTTACCAGAAAGGTGCAAAACTGCCATTCTCCCAAGCAGTGCTCAATCTTTTCTTATTTTGCTTCCTAGCAATGTGGCAGGCTTGGTTCAAATGAACTTAGAAAAGTTCTCCACAGGTTTGGACATTTCTTACAACAATACCAAAAGCAATTGACTCATGTGAAGCAGGAGAAGGTTCCATGGAGGAGTATCAGCATTTCCAGGGACTCAACTGACGGAAGACAGATTTTTAACCACAAATTTAGAGCAGATCCAGAACCCAGCAAGCTAGAGTTTCCCCCTTGCTTTCAGACAACAGAAGAAAATGCTTAAGACTCAGGTGAATGTTTTTATTTTGTGTGTGTGTGTGAGTGTGCGTGCCTGCGCTTAATCCGTACCAGAGGATGTTTTTTCACTTTTCTTTTTTTACTGTCCCTCCAACTTGCCTCTGAGATTCTGCACTCAATGTCATGGTTCCATGTCTCTCCATTCACACCATCTGTTGTTTTTTTTTCCCCAATTAATTAGATTCCACATGTGAGAGAGATGAAGTGATGCTTGTCTTTCTCTGACGGAGTTATTTCACTGAGCAGGATGCTCTCCAGGTCCCTCCATGCTGTGTGATAGGGTAAGAGAGTCTTCATTTCTAGTGCAGCATGGTATTCCATGGTACAAAGCTTCCACAGCTTTGCCATCCAGGAGGCACTCTTTTCACAGCAGCAAGGCTTCAGGAATCTGGAGACAGGGCTGACATGTAAATGGATACATTAGACAAATATAAAGTATGAGTGTCTGTTTTGAGACATTAACTTTGTATAATGGACTCAAAGGACGCAGGTTAGAGGCAGGTAGAGACTTGAGCAACCTCTGCGAGCTATAGTTGGCCTGAAGAAGACACCTGCCAAATGTCCTGAATGAAGAAACAGTGCCTGTCATTCAGAATGAGCAGGTCCTGAAGAAAGATATGCAAAACCAGCCACGGGGATACAGGAGAAACAAACTTTCCCCAGGCATTACCTGCACTGAAGGGGCTAGAGGACCCTGAGTGTAGTTGGTGTGTTCTTGGGCTATTTGCCCCTCAATCCAGTCCTGGACTCAATTGAGAGATGCAGGACCCTGGCCTTGGAGCTTAGGAACTACAATACCCAGAAGGCATGGCAGGGAATGCCACCAGGCTGAGCCAATGGAGGCTCAGAAAAGGCACTTCCTTTTGGCCGCGTCTGTAGGGCGGAAAGGGGAGTCCTAGTGGCGGGATTTTGCCTTCTCAAATGTTTGTTTCCTGTGGTCACGTTTTCCTGGTCGCACAATCCCGTGGAGAAGGCCGGAGAGTGGTGCTCCCCGCCTCACAGCCCATGGTCGGAGCCTCCAGTGGTGCTCACAGCTCACACTTGGGATTGAAGCTCGGAGTCGCCACCCGGACCCACGCCAGGGCCGGGACAGGGACCGCCATTCCCGCAGCGGCTTCTACTCCCGCCCAGCTCAGGCCACAGAGGGCAATGGCGGCGGCCCCGCTGAGGAGACGGGCTGAGGTGAGTTGAGTCCCCCAGGCCCTCACCGCGTCCTCACACAGACACCACAGCCTGGGGAGGGCGCCTGTCCCGTCCTGCAGCTCAGTCCCGCGTGGAGGACCGTGAGGAAGGCGGAGGGGAGTGAGGAGTGTTGTGGCTTCTGAGGACACAGCAAGTGCAGGGCAGAGAGGACTGGGGTGACTTGCATCTGAAGGTCCCTGAGAATGTGGCTGTGAGTATTGACGGAAAGATCAGAGGCTGCAGGGAGGACGGCACAGACTCATTCGGGGCTTATTGGAATGAGTGGGATCCATCTGGGCCTGGGGTTGTCCTGGATCCGGCTGGACTACAAGCTCTCTACATACCATATGCCAGGTTCATGGGTGAGTCCACGGAGATCCAGTGGCATTGGAGCAGGGAGGGGGCAGACCTGAGGGGAATGAACTTGGGGACTGAAGGTGGGCAGGGCAGAAACATTTCACTGTGGTGAGTGCACATCTGGAGGAAGTGTGAGCTTATGGTCCCTGGGACTTGTTGTGCACATAAAGAAGTATAAACCCTCGCTTGGCTTTGTCTTGGAGACAGGATCTAGGAGACTGCAGTGGTTTTGCCTGGTAGGAAGGCTGGTGCCCTGCAGGCATTGCCCAGACCTTAAATGGCATTGCTCTCTCCCCTCCTCTCCCCCAATCCTTCCACCCAACCCAGCTGCTCTGCTGAGGGCCATCACAGTGAGTAATGGGACTGTGATGAGAGAGCAGCCTGCACTGGCATTAGGGCCTGGTGTCCACAGGAACCGGGTGCCCTGCAGGTGGTTGAAGGGGGGCAGATGTGTAAGGAATAGAATTACTGGTTCTCAGAAAGGCAGCTCTGGGTTCAATTGTCTCCATTCTGACAGATTGGCGTGACCTTTGAGGACATTGCCCTGTTCTTCTCCAGGGAGGAATGGAGCCTCCTTGATGAGGGTCAGAGACAGCTGTACCTGAATGTGATGCTGGAGAACTTTGAACTTATATCCTCGCTGGGTAAGACCCTCACTGTTACCGGTGACCTGGAATTGGCTTTTCTATTTCCCAGGCCCCATCCCCGGAGTGTGCTCTGTCCTCCCAGGTAGACTGTGGTACTGCTGGATTTTCCAGTTTCCTGGGTAGTTGCTGTCCTGGGGAGGGTTGGTCTGTTTCTGCTGCTCCCTTCTGTTCCTGAAGTCCCAATACTCCCCGCACCACTAAATTCACAGGGAAGGACTCGTGATTGGTAGTGTTGCAGGAAGCTTATAGAATTCCACCTTGATTAGTGAAGATAGCATTTTCTATATTCCTTTTGGTAATGTGTATATATTTTTTGAAAGTTGTCTCTACATCCTTATCCTGTTTATTAACTGTATTTTTTGTTAGTCTTTTGAATACCTTGTA